CACGGCTCCCAGTCTGAGCCACAGCTCCCAGTTTGAGCCACAGCTCCCAGTTTGAGCCACGGCTCCCAGTCTGAGCCACAGCTCCCAGTTTGAGCCACAGCTCCCAGTTTGAGCCACGGCTCCCAGTTTGGGCCACAGCTCCCAGTTTGAGCCACAGCTCCCAGTTTGATCCACGGCTCCCAGTCTGAGCCACAGCTCCCAGTTTGAGCCACGGCTCCCAGTCTGAGCCACGGCTCCCAGTTTGGGCCACAGCTCCCAGTTTGAGCCACAGCTCCCAGTTTGATCCACGGCTCCCAGTTTGAGCCGCAGCTCCCAGTCTGAGCCACGGCTCCCAGTCTGAGGGACGGTTCCCAGCCTGAGCTCAGTTTCCCAGTTTGATCCCTGGCTCCCAGTTTGATCCATGGCTCCCAGTTTGATCCCTGGCTCCCAGTTTGATCCATGGCTCCCAGTTTGATCCATGGCTCCCAGTCTGAGGGACAGTTCCCAGTTTGTGCAGCAGCTCACAATTTGATCCACGTCTCCCAGTCTGAGCCCAGTTTCCCAGTTTGAGCCATGGCTCCCAGTTTGATCCCAGTTTCCCACTGGTCTGTGGCTTTCCTGCTGGTTTGGGGATACTGGGAAAAGGTGTCTGGGTGGAAAATGGGAAAAAATAAAAGAATGGAGGGGAAAAAATAGAGGAAAAAACCCTTTTAAAATAGAGAAAAAACCGCTTAAAATAGAGAAAAACCCTTTAAAATAGAGAAAAAACCCACTTAAAATAAATTTAAAAACCCATTTAAAATAGAGAAAAAACCCCTTAAAATAGAGAAAACCCCTTTAAAAGAGAGCAAGCCCCATTTTTCCTAACGGGATGAGCCCCGAGCACGGAGGGGAGCTGGGAGGGAGCGACCCTTCCCAAAGCCATAAATCCAGCGGCACTGGCTGGGGTTTTACGGGATTATTTTAATTTTTATTTTTATTTCCTGTCCTTCGGGGACGCGCCAGGCTCGGGCAGCGCCGCCCCTGCAGACCCGCGGGAATTGGGGGGAGAAAGGTCAATATTGGTAAAATCGGGGGGAAATGGGCGGATTTTGGGGTTCTCATCCCTCCCTCAGCCCAGAAAATCCAAATACCCCCGAGAATGGTGGGAAAGGGGACCCGGGGCCGGGATTGACCCGCTGGGGCAGAAATTTTAAGAAATCAATTAAAAAAATTTAAAAAAAAATTAAATTTCAATCAATTTTAAAAAATAAATAAATAAAAAATGAAATCAATTGAAAGAAATTTTAAAAAATCCAAGTGGATTGGGGAAAATGGGGGATTTTCAGCGGGATTTGGGTGGGGAGGAGCTCCTGGATTCCCCCTCCCCAAAAATCCCTTTTCCTGCTTTTTTCGGGGATTTTTCGCCGAGCGGCGCGGGGCGGGGTTGATGACGTCAGCAACGCCTGCTGTGCTGACGTCATACCTCGGCGCGCCCGGCCATTGGCTGTTCGCCTCTCTGGGGTTGTGACGTCACCAGGGAAAGGCTCCGCAGGGAGGAAAAATCTGGGGGGAAAAAGGGGAAAAAAGGGAAAAAACCCAAGGGGGAGCGCGGCCGGGAACTCCAAATGTTCAATAAATCCTTTATTAAACAACAAAAAAATAACATTATTTGGGGCAAAATGCGGTTTGGAACCTGGGATTTGGAAAAGAAGGAAAAGGCAGAGGGGAAAAGGCGGATTTTGGGTGGAATCCGTGGAATTTATTCGCCTGTTCAGAGGTTTTTTAGGAGTTCCAGGTGGGTTTAAGGGGGAGCCGCTGCCTTGGAACAAAGAAATGGCCAGGGTGGAGCTGGAGCTTCCCTGAGCCTGGCAAGAGCCGAGGAAATAAAATGAAAATTAAAAAAAATAAAAATTAGAATAAAAATAAATTTAAAAAATAAAAGATTTATTCGCCTGTTCAGAGGTTTTTTAGGAGTTCCAGGTGGGTTTAAGGGGGAGCCGCTGCCTTGGAACAAAGAAATGGCCAGGGTGGAGCTGGAGCTTCCCTGACCCTGGCAAGAGCCGAGGAAATAAAATGAAAATTAAAAAAAATAAAAATTAGAATAAAAATAAATTTAAAAAATAAAAGTAAAAATAAAAATAAATTTTAAAATAAAAATAAAAATAAAATAAAATAAAAATAAAAAAAAATTAAAAATAAAAATAAAAATAAAAATAAAAATAAAAATAAAAATAAAAATAAAAATAAAAATAAAAATAAAAATAAAAATAAAAATAAAAATAAAAATAAAAATAAAAATAAAAATAAAAATAAAAATAAAAATAAAAATAAAAATAAAAATAAAAATAAAAATAAAAATAAAAATAAAAATAAAAATAAAAATAAAAATAAAAATAAAAATAAAAATAAAAATAAAAATAAAAATAAAAATAAAAATAAAAATAAAAATAAAAATAAAAATAAAAATAAAAATAAAAATAAAAATAAAAATAAAAATAAAAATAAAAATAAAAATAAAAATAAAAATAAAAATAAAAATAAAAATAAAAATAAAAATAAAAATAAAAATAAAAATAAAAATAAAAATAAAAATAAAAATAAAAATAAAAATAAAAATAAAAATAAAAATAAAAATAAAAATAAAAATAAAAATAAAAATAAAAATAAAAATAAAAATAAAAATAAAAATAAAAATAAAAATAAAAATAAAAATAAAAATAAAAATAAAAATAAAAATAAAAATAAAAATAAAAATAAAAATAAAAATAAAAATAAAAATAAAAATAAAAATAAAAATAAAAATAAAAATAAAAATAAAAATAAAAATAAAAATAAAAATAAAAATAAAAATAAAAATAAAAATAAAAATAAAAATAAAAATAAAAATAAAAATAAAAATAAAAATAAAAATAAAAATAAAAATAAAAATAAAAATAAAAATAAAAATAAAAATAAAAATAAAAATAAAAATAAAAATAAAAATAAAAATAAAAATAAAAATAAAAATAAAAATAAAAATAAAAATAAAAATAAAAATAAAAATAAAAATAAAAATAAAAATAAAAATAAAAATAAAAATAAAAATAAAAATAAAAATAAAAATCTGTGCCAGGCGGGGGTCCCGGTGCCCCGCGGGGTTCCCGGTGTCCCGGTGCCCCACGGGGGATTCCCGGTGCCGCGGGGATCCCGGTGCCCTGCGGGGATCCCTGTGCCCCACGGGGGTCCCTGTGTCCCGCGGGTGTCCCGGTGCCCCGCAGGGTTCCCGGTTTTCCCGGTGCCACGGGTGTTCCCGGTGCCCCACGGGGTTCCCGGTTTTCCCGGTGCCACGGGTGTTCCCGGTGCCCCACGGGGTTCCCGGTGTTCCCGGTCCCCCGCAGGGTTCCCGGTGTTCCCGGTGTCCCGCGGGTGTCCCGGTGCCCCGCGGGGTTCCCGGTGTTCCCGGTGTCCCGCGGGTGTCCCGGTGCCCCGCAGGGTTCCCGGTGTTCCCGGTGTCCCGCGGGTGTCCCGGTGCCCCGCAGGGTTCCCGGTGTTCCCGGTGTCCCGCGGGTGTTCCCGGTGTCCCGCAGGGTTCCCGGTGTTCCCGGTGTCCCGCGGTGTTCCCGGTGCCCCGCAGGGTTCCCGGTGTCCCGCGGGTGTCCCGGTGTCCCGGTGGCCCGGCCCGCTCAGGCCGTGCCGCCGGCGCTGGCCTTGCCCTTGGCCAGCAGCTTCTTGTCCTTGACGCGGCGGTTCTGGAACCAGATGGTGACCTGGCGCTCGCTCAGGCCGGTGGCGGCGGCGATGCGGCGGCGGCGCTCGCGGGTGATGAAGCGGCTCCCGGCGAACTCCCGCTCCAGCTCCCGCAGCTGCCCCTTGCTGTACGGGACGCGCTTCTTGCGGCCGCGCCGCAGCGCGCAGCCCTCCGCGGGACACGGGCCCGCCGCCTCTGCGACAGCGGGACAGCGGGACAGCGGGACAGCGGGACAGAGGGACAGCGGGGGATAACGGGGACAGCGGGACAGGGGGACAGGGGGACACGGGGACAGCGGGACAGGGGGACAGCGGGACAGCGGGACAGCGGGACAGAGGGACAGGGGGACAGAGGGACAGCGGGGGATA